CCGTCTGAGATTGTGAATCCACCTCTACGTCAATCCACACGCATTTGTAAGTATACAAAGTTACCAGATGTTACTTATTCTTGTTATTCTTCATCTTTTACTTCCTTTTTAGCTTCTATTCATTGTCTCTCTGAGCTCTCTTCCTATAAAGAGGCAATTCTTGACCCTCTTTGGCAGCAAGCTATGGATGAGGAACTTTCTACTTTGCATAAGACAGGTACTTGAGATTTGGTTCCTCTACCTCCTGGTAAGAGTGTTGTTGGTTGTCGGTGGGTTTATAAGATTAAGACCAATTCTGATAGATCTGTTGAGCGATACAAAGCTAGGTTGGTTGCAAAAGGGTACTCTTAACAATATGGTATGGATTATGAGGAGACATTTGCTCTTGTTGTAAAAATAACTACTATTCGTACTCTTATTGCAGTTGCTTCGGTTCGTCAGTGGCATATCTCTCANTTCTCCTTTCGAAAAGTTGTATGGGTATGCCCCTGATTATTCTTCATTTAGAGTTGTTGGTTGTACTTGTTTCGTTATTCGTCCTCATGTTGAACGCAACAAGATGTCCTCTCGATCTGCTATTTGTGTCTTTCTTGGATATGGTGAAGGTAAAAACGNTTGGTTGTACTTGTTTCGTTATTCGTCCTCATGTTGAACGCAACAAGATGTCCTCTCGATCTGCTATTTGTGTCTTTCTTGGATATGGTGAAGGTAAAAACGGGTATCGTTGTTTTGATCCAATAACTCAAAAACTTTATGTGTCTCGTCATGTTATTTTTCTTGAGCATATACCTTTCTTTTGTATTCCATCCACTACTTATAGCTTGACTAGATCTGATCTTATTCATATAGATCATTTTTCTGAGAATTCTAATAGTTTGTCATATCAGGTTTCTAATACTTTAAATAGCAACACTGATCATTTTACAGGTACTGACACTTTACTCTCTAGCACACCTAAAGCTACCTCCTCTCCTATGGTCCCTCAAGCTTCATTTGAGATTGTGGATCCACCTTTACGTCAATTCACACGCATTCATAAGTCCACAAAGTTACCAGATTTTACTTATTCTTATTATTCTTCATCTTTTACTTCCTTTTTAGCTTATATTCATTGTCTCTCTGAGCCCTCTTCCTATAAAGAGGCAATTCTTAACCCTCTTTGGTAGCAAGTTATGGATGAGAAACTTTCCACTTTGCATAAAACAGGTACTTGGGATTTGGTTCCTCTACCTCCTGGTAAGAGTGTTGTTGGCTGTCGGTGGTGTATAAAATTAAGATCAATTCTGATGGATCTGTTGAGCAATACAAAGCTAGGTTAGTTGCAAAAAAGGTACTCTCAACAGTATGATATGGATTATGAGGAGACATTTACTCCTGTTACAAAAATGACTACTATTCGTACTATTATTGCAGTTGCTTCGGTTCGTCAGTGGCATATCTCTCAACTTGATGTTAAAAATGTCTTCTTGAATGAGGATCTTCAAGAAGAAGTTTATATGGCTCCCTCTCCTGGTGTTTTACATGATTTTGGGTATGTTTGCAAGCTCAAGAAAACGTTATATGGTCTCAAACAAGCACCTCGTGCTTGGTTTGAGAAATTTTCTGTTGTGATCTCTTCCCTTGGGTTTACTTCTAGTAGTCATGATTCTGCTCTTTTTGTTAAGTGCACTGATGCAGGTCGTATCATTCTGTCTTTATATGTTGATGACATAATTATTACTGGTGATGATATTAATGGTATTTCAGTTTTGAAGACAGAGTTAGCTAGACAGTTTGAAATGAAGGATTTGGGTTCTCTACGATATTTCTTGGGTATTGAGGTAGCCTACTCACCCAGAGGTTATCTTCTTTCTCAGTCGAAATATGTTACAGATATTCTTGAGCGAGCAAGACTTACTGATAATAAGACTGTAGATACTCCCATTAAGATTAACGCAAAGTATTCCTCTTCTGATGGTTTACCTTTGTCAAATCCCACTTTATACCGTACTATTGTTAGGAGCTTGGTATATCTCACTATTACTCGTCTAGATATTGCATATGTTGTTCATGTTGTTAGTCAATTTGTTGTTTCTCCTACTACAGTTCATTGGGCAGCGATTCTTCGTATTTTGAGGTATATTCGGGGTATAGTCTTTCAGAGCCTTTTACTTAAATCCACCTCTTCCTTGGAGATGTGTGCATACTCTGATGTTGATCATGGCAGTGATCCTACAGATCGTAAATCTGTTACTGATTTTTGTATCTTTTTGGGTGATTCTCTTATTTCTTGGAAGAACAAGAAACAATCTATTGTTTCTCAATCTTCAACCGAAACAGAATATCGTGCTATGACATCTACTACCAAAGAGATTGTTTGGTTACGTTGGTTACTTGCAGATATGGGAGTTTCTCTTTCTCATCCCACTCCTATGTATTGTGACAACCGGAGTTCTATTCAGATTGCTCACAACTCGATTTTTCATGAACGAACTAAGCACATTGAGATCGATTGTCATCTTACTCGTCATCATCTCAAGCATGACACCATTACTTTGCCCTTTGTTTCTTCTTCTTTGCAGATTGCAGATTTCTTTACCAAGTCGCATTCTATTTCCCATTTTCATTTTCTAGTTGGCAAACTCTCGATGCTTGTCGTTGCTGCATCATGAGTTTGAGGGGAGATGTTAAGAAATATAGGGTTATTTTGTTTATTAAGGGTAGAATAGTCCTTTACTTTCTCTGCTTTGTTTAGCTTATATATAATCTCTTTGTATTTAGGTTAAATTACTTCCTTGTATTTCAATTCAATTATGCAGTATCAATAAAACTCTAGCCTCCTCTTTTCTTATCTCTTGTATTTCTTTAGATTGTTCAACACTTCTAACCTGTATTATTTAAAGGAGAAGGTTGAGCTACTAAGCTCTTAATAGGCTTATAAAAATGTTGTAATTGGAGGGACACTTCAACTAAGCTTACTTATATAAGTATGGAATTGGAGCCGCTTCTTATAAGCTAGGGTTGACTCTAGAATGCTTATGAAATTAAAGTATAGACACGAGATCATTTATATATATATATATAAAGGATTTGAAGATTTATGTGTAAATATGATCTGGCTAGTCAAAGTGGATAGTTAGTTCAAAGACACATCTACTATGCATACTCAATTAGTCTTCCGTTTAGCCATTTGTTCCTATGCATTATTTTGAAAATGATGGGGGAATGTTAAAGTATTTTTGGGTAAGTTTATTTTTCAAAAATTCTTTGTGATTTTCGGGAGAAGTTGAAAATGTGTGACGTAAAAAAAACATGAAAGAATACTAATTCAAAGTTAGTGACTTTTCACTAAAGACACCTACACCACTTCATAAAAGTTGTCATTAAAATCTTTGGTTAAAAGATACCATTATAAATGACCACAAATTTTCATAAAATCACATTTGATATCTCTTAAACTAAAAGACATTATTTCAAATGGTTCCACCTTTTTTAAAAAGTTACTAATGAATCTATAAATAGGTGATGTCTTACATTCTAAAAATATTTAATTGAACAATTCTATACTTTCTACCATAATTACTCTCTTAGTCTTCTCTCCATTCTTTCAAATTCATGTACATTTATTCATAAAAGTCATCATTAAAACCCTTTTCTATTCAATCTAGTTTTCTATTTGCTGCAGATGTAGAATACTAGAAGTTGACTATTTGATTTCGTTAATGTATTTGAGTACATAGATATGTTTGAAGAGCTTTATTGTATCTTGAGAACATATTTGTAAAATTTCTGGTCCACACATTTCTAAACAACCAGTGGGAACAAATACTGTTTTTAAGAAAGTGTTATCGAACATGTTTTAAAGCAATTTTTATTACTGCGGTGCAGTCCCTACAATTAAATTTTCTAACAGAGTAACGATCCCTGAGTTTTATTCAATAGTTCATTTTGCAGGAAGATGTACACTTTATTCGTTCATTTGTCTCAAAACCAAACATTCAATTTTCATGTCATCATCAATCAAAAGTGCGAGGATTTTTTCCGGTTTATTTACCTACGAAACTAATTATAAGAGTCATATGTAGAATTACAACATATCATACAATAGCAAACTGGAGAAGGGTTAATTGGCTATCATATAAAATGAGGGGTTAATTGCTTTTTATCTGCCTATGGTGGCCAGAAGCATTTTATCTACTTAACGTTTAAAATAATGCATATTACTCTCTTGTACTTATGTACCAAAGTGAAATAGTTACTTTTATCATCCAAGTTAACGGAAATTGTGCTCCACACGTCCAAAATATGTTGTGGGTTTTGTTTTCATTGTTTCCTTCTAAAAAAACATTATCTAAGTACCTAAAATACCTTTTATAATATATGGTATAATACCTAAATAAGTAAGGTACTGGTCCCATATCAAAAAACGTGTAAGAAAAACGTAAGTGATTTTCGACCACGAATCAAAACCTCACTTGAGGGAAAAAGAGACTCAGCATGTGTTGCTTGAAATGTGTTAGTTTGTTGTCATATTCCATTAGTGTTATGGTCAAGAGTAAATCAGACAAAAAAGTCTGATTTTAAAATTTGGATATTATGGTAATTTTTTAATTTCATTAACGACGGCAATTACTTCACGTTGTTATATAACTATAAGGGGGTAATATGCATAATTTTAAACGTTAAGTAGATAAAGTGTTTCTAGCCGAAACGGTAAAAAATAATTAACCCTAAAATGAATAACTTTGAAGCAAAATGTTTAGGGGATTATAGCAGTGAGTGTCTACGTTAGCCCCCAGCAGGCCTGAACCAACAATGAAGGCTTGTTGATAATTTTTGAAGATCCACCAGAAACAAAAAATCACCGTTATTTGTAGTTTATTATTCAGTCTTTCTTTCATTTTCATTGTAGGCAGGGCTTAGAATGGGATGCAATCAGAATAGCAAGTTCAGATTCACCTATTTGAGTTGGTTCGCGATTTGTTAAGCTGAAAATCATAAAGCTGATTGAATCCTCATGCTTTATATCAAAATGAATAGTATCATTGATTTACAGATCTACAAATGCGAGAACAAGTTTGAATCTATGCAATGGCCGGTGTTACAAAATTTCAGTAATCTAACAAATATAAAAGAAAAACAAAACGGGAGATCATTGTGCATGTGAGTGTCTTATCCCCTAGATCAAATGTCCATCCTCCATCTCTGGTTGCTGCTATCTCGGCCCTGAAAGTCGTACAGCTGAAAGATAGGCATCACTGTTGCTGTCTGAGGGCCCCGACGAAGTGCCCTCCTCACTGACAGTTTTGAAGATATTTGGGAAGAGGCGAGAACGCATCGGGGAAGATGTTGGTGGCTGAGGGACTGGAGAAAGGCCTTCAAGCATTTGGACTACTTTTGTCATTGGTGGTCTTAGATACATGTCATCCTGTATACACCACAAAGCAACCTTGACAGCTATGGCCACCCTTCCATCCTCATCATCAAACGTCAACTTCGAGTCAAAAATGTCCCTTAATTTTCCTTCTTCCATCATCTTAAAAGCATAGGATGGGAAGTGGGATTTTTCTGAAGTTTCCAAGGCGTCATAGTTTTTTCTTCCCCCAATGATCTCAAGCAACACCATTCCATAGCTATAAACATCGCTCTTCTCTGATATAGCATAGTTCGTGATCCATTCTGGTGCTAGGTACCCCCTGGTGCCCCTTAGTGTTGTGAAAACATGGCTTTGTTCTCTATTCATTAGCTTAGCAAGACCAAAATCCGACACTTTGGCCAGGTAGTGATCATCAAGAAGCACATTTTCAGGCTTTATGTCGCAATGGACAATCTTCACATCACAATCCTCGTGGAGATAAGCTAATCCTTTAGCCGTACCCAATGCAATATTGTATCTTGTATTCCAATCCAACATCATGTTCTCTTTGTTTTGCCTAAATAGCCATTTATCCAAAGACCCATTGGCCATGTACTCGTAAGCAAGGAGCCGGTGGCTTCCTTCAGCACAGAAGCCTTTGAGCCTCACTAAGTGGTGATGATGGATGCTGCCAATGATACTAACTTCAGCTCGAAACTCTTTCTTTCCCTGGCCAATGCCTTCCAATTGCTTTACGGCCAATTGGGTTCCATCTGGAAGAAGCCCTTGATAGACTGAGCCAAACCCTCCTTGTCCAAGTTTAACAGTGAAGTTATTGGTAGCAGTTTCAAGATCTTTGTAAGTGAAACGAATGGGCATCCCAGCTAAACCCTCCAAGAAATTATCCTCTTCAGATGCTTCTTTAGGAGACTCTGGCAATTTCTGATTTTTCTTCTTATAGTAACGATATCCTGCAAAAAATAGTCCAAATATAACAAGTACTGTCGCAACAACTATGATGATAACAAAAGGGAAGCGTGTGCTTCCACCTCCTCCAGGATTTCCCCCATTGCCTCCAGTACTCTGGACCTTAATGTATGAAACAAAATCAGCACCATTGCTTGAGCCTTGCAAGCTTCCTATCTGGTCAAAGAGAAAGCAATGCCCGGAACTGTTTTCAAAGAACATAGTAACGCACGAGCAGTTTCCAAGGCAAGAGTCTTTGCAACCATTTAAATCAGTGGTTGAAGAGGGCGAAACAAATCCAAGCGCAAAATAGTTGAGCCCATCCCCGGCATTCACAAGGTCCATAGAACCGTTTGATTCATTGCATGGAGAGCCAATCCCCATTTTGCATGTTGAGTCCAGGCCTAAAGGGCACTGGCACGTGTTGCCACTATAACAAACATAAACTGGATCACAGGCCTCAGGAGTGCTGCACGAATCGCTTGGTATGTTTGTTGGAGAATTAACAGTTTGACCTCTGGTTTGAAGATTTATGAAAGTGATAAAGCCTTGGAACCCTAAAACTGCAATCCAAGTGGCATTTGAATCAGTATTATCGGAAAAAATGAATTGCCAGAGTAACACTCTGTTTTGATCATAAAACCTCCATGAATTGGCCTCAAGAGTCGCGATATTGATAATCCCACCATTTGTGTCAATAGTTCTTCGACTGTCCTTTCTCATGGACCAATATGGCTGGGGAGTTGGGAAATCTGCAGAGAGAATCATATCACCCGACTTGATTCCAAGAGAATAAGTCAAATTCCTTGAGTTGGGATTGCTTACTAGTTTCATCCCTTCAATGAAGTCTTGATTTGACAGAAGTGTATCAGTTGGATGGCTAAAACTCTGCCAAATTACACTACTGTCGTTCCCAATCAAAATCAAATTACCCGAGTCTAGTAATTCAATGGCAGAAACACCTTTCTTGGCTGTATCCGTGGACCAAACTACATTTCCACCACTTTTTAAGTAAGCATTTCCACCATCATCAAACACAAAATCATCAGAATTTCCAACTGGAGAGGCTCTATTTGCAGACCAAACTTTTGTTGAGCTGCTCATGTGAATGATCGCAAGCAGAAACAAGGTGACATCTTGGGTGGTAGTGAAGCCAAACCCAAAATTCGAGTTATTGGATACTAGAAACACCCCATCATTATCAATCCAGTTCATTTGAGATCCTTTAAATCCTGGATTCAACTTGCCGATATTTTGGACACTAGCCACACAAGTTTTAGGCATATAGAAAATAAATAACCACATTCCTATGAAATACAAGAATCCCGAATTCCCCATGACCATACCAAGAGGTAAATTCAGCTGAATTTTGGACCGTCAAAAGTCAAAGAGAAAGAAGAGAATTGATTCAAAGNTAGGCATATAGAAAATAAATAACCACATTCCTATGAAATACAAGAATCCCGAATTCCCCATGACCATACCAAGAGGTAAATTCAGCTGAATTTTGGACCGTCAAAAGTCAAAGAGAAAGAAGAGAATTGATTCAAAGTAATGGGAAGATAAAACTTGGATACCACCAAAGGAAAGAAACAGATAAGAAAGAGCCCTTGAACAGTTCAACCAATCTGAAATTCTATATTCAGCTCTACCAGGAAAACTNAGTAATGGGAAGATAAAACTTGGATACCACCAAAGGAAAGAAACAGATAAGAAAGAACCCTTGAACAGTTCAACCAATCTGAAATTCTATATTCAGCTCTACCAGGAAAACTTTGCACAAGAAAGTATAGAACTCGGAAACCTAAATTATAAAACTAGGAAAGAACACAGAGGAGACATGTAAAACTGAAATTCTGTTACAACAAAACCCAAATATTGAGATTAAAAAAGATGACCAAAAGCCCCAAACAGAATCAACACCAAGCTGAATTGTGAAAGCAAAAAGAGAGAATCATATATGACAATTCATGGGTATTCTTCATTTAATCACAAATTAACAGTAACTTCCAGAAACACAATTCAAAAAAGCCACCAAGAACACCAAAATTCAACAAAGGCCCACATGAATTGAGACCGGGCAAGAAGAGAAAAACCAATAACAATCAATGGGTACTCTTCATTTAGAAATGAAATGGAACCCATTTGCAGAAACAAGCAGCTGTATTAAGGGGACACTAATGGAGAGTAGAGGGAGGTGCTGGGTACATACCAGTGAGAGGTAGCAATCAATTGAATACTTTGGCTCGCTCTGGAGAGAGAAAACAAGTGGATTCACAGACATGGGTCTCTGGCTTTTTCCTGAATTAAAGACCAAATAGAATCAGATGAACCTGGTTCTGATATTGTCAAAGAATTGCAGAGATCTGAGGTGGGTTCTATCTTTTTCCTGAAACTGTTCACCTAAGTAGCTAGGATTTAATCTGTTTGTTGATGTTAATCCAAAAAACAAAATAAATAGAAACTGTTTATTGATGAAGGTAGATGGGGGAGATCCAAAAGAATTGAATGCTGAATGGGATAATTAAATGCTGAAGTTGGACGAATGTGAGGCAATAGACTCAAAGAGTCAAGCTCTTTGCAACCACCAGCCTCATACCCGCCGGTTCGGGGAGGTTCAAGCCACTTGAAAATGTGGGTCCCTGGTCGTGTACTAAATCTTTGATTGTTACGTTGATATTGTATTAACGGTAATGCTATGTTTACTATTTTTTTCACTAAATCTTCGTCTTAAATGATGTGACATAATTTTTAACGATAAATAAATTTTATTAATATTCAATGATAGAGATTGTACTACATCATTTAATATAGAAAATTTGATAAATTTTTGTTATATGCATAACATTTTCCTTAGNGTTTACTATTTTTTTCACTAAATCTTCGTCTTAAATGATGTGACATAATTTTTAACTATAAATAAATTTTATTAATATTCAATGATAGAGATTGTACTACATCATTTAATATAAAAAATTTGATAAATTTTTGTTATATGCGTAACATTTTTCTTGNCGTTGATATTGTATTAACGGTAATGCTATGTTTACTATTTTTTTCACTAAATCTTCGTCTTAAATGATGTGACATAATTTTTAACGATAAATAAATTTTATTAATATTCAATGATAGAGATTGTACTACATCATTTAATATAGAAAATTTGATAAATTTTTGTTATATGCATAACATTTTCCTTAGTTCTAATTAGCCTGCAATCTACTTCACATCTGTGTATGAAAATCACGCTCCATCAATTTCAAAGATCAGCTTCAGTCATTTATTTTGGTCGGCTGCCATTATGTTATTATTCAATAGAAGTAAAGGTTGAGAAGTTGAAAAAAAAAAAAAAAAGGTTGTGGGAAGTTCGTGAGAATGAACTGGAATGACCATATATGTGTAAGAAATTGATTGGATGAGAAATTCTTTTTCAATTAATTATTCAGCAGTGGAAATTTTGAAAAAAAGAACGAAGTGCATCTCAACCAACCTTCTTCAAGTGTCCTATTTATTATTTTATTTTATCGCGTTCAAAATCTTTATTTTTTATGTATATCTTCTTATCGAGTTATTGTTGATGGGTATTAAATTACCCATACTTACGATGACGAGTCTTCAATGAGTGGTTGTTAAACTCGAAACTTATCTCATTATATTAAATAATACTAGAGGTAATTCTTGTTTGAAGGTACAGTACAATATGAATGGTTTTAGAAAGGATGTTAGTGGCCGTTGGATGATTTTATTTGAAACAGTCGAATGAACTTATTAAAGTTTTTCCNAACCTTCTTCAAGTGTCCTATTTATTATTTTATTTTATCGCGTTCAAAATCTTTATATTTTATGTATATCTTCTTATCGAGTTATTGTTGATGAGTATTAAATTATCCATACTTACGATGACGAGTCTTCAATGAGTGGTTGTAAAACTCGAAACTTATCTCATTATATTAAATAATACTAGAGGTAATTCGTGTTTGAAGGTACAGTGCAATATGAATGGTTTTAAAAAGGATGTTAGTGGCCGTTGGATGATTTTATTTGAAACAGTCGAATGAACTTATTAAAGTTTTTTCTATTTTATATTATAGATAAAATACTAATGTATGCACAATTTCATGCATGTATATTTGTGATCGGATATAAAATTCAAAAAAAAAAATTTGTAACTCATTGAACTCTTAATGGGTGCTGAGCCATTTTGAATATTCTGAGATAAAGTGCATGGCAGATGAACATGAAAAAGCCTTGCATTAATAGAAGGACTTTTATTTTTTATTTTCTTGATAATCGAAAAATATTCGAAGTACACACATTCTCTTTTTTTTTTTTTTTTTTCTGGTTAAAAAAAGGGTGGGGACAAAGAAGAGTACTCAGCGACCACTGCAATAGGCCCTCACCAGTGGAATCATAAGGCCCCTGACCGTGCCTAGAACATCTTTCGGGATTAGACTTAAATAGGTTACTAATGGACAATCACCAAACCCCAATGGGAACTCCAAAACTCGAACTCTCAACCTCAAGGTAAAAAATAAAGCCGATACCCTACTAGACCACCCTACTTGGTGGTAAGTACACACATTCTTCGAACGTATGGAAATATATGAAAAAATCATCCAAAACTATGTGCATAAAGTCAATTAGGACAATATTTAAGNCGAATTTTCCTATCTTCAGGGTCAAGACAAGGGCGTCGTTATGAGGAGTCATTACACTTGTCAAGTCCGCGTCGGAGAACGTGATGCTGGGCTCACCAGCCCTGACCCTTTTACTGGGTGGCTCTCTATCATCCTTGGCTACCTTCCTTGTAAAAGCTACCATNTCACCAGCCCTGACCCTTTTACTGGGTGGCTCTCTATCATCCTTGGCTACCTTCCTTGTAAAAGCTACCATCTTGAGGTCGGACTCGAGTTCCTTAGACGTGGGGCGATCCAGGGGACATACATGGATGACATCTATGATGTTGTCCGGCTCCTCGATCAGGGCAAGGGTGTTTGTATGACCTCGTCTTCGACCTCATCCTGGACAGCCTTACTCTTTCTCCTAGATTCCAACCGGGCTCTGAGATCAATTTCCTCCCTGACGGGATGTCTTCTAAAGTCTTTGAGTTCATCAATAGGCCCCCCATTTCCTGGGCGCCGAGTGGATAGGGTAGAATCCTCCTCGGACTCATCTCCCTTTTTTTTTCTAGACAATCCTTGCCGGAGGTCATCCAGGGCTAATGGCCTTACCTTCCTTGAATGGTCGTTAGGAGGGTGCTCGTTGGCTCTCGATCGCTTTGGGCCCCTGGAGCTTTCTGCCTTATTGTTTAGATGATTCTTTAGATCCTTCGTTTTCGCCTCTCGGGCGGGGAGCCCACGAGAGAGGAATGAGTCCCTCGATCCTTCGCCGGAGGTGGCAAATTCGTTGAGCCGGCTTATGACGTTTACATTGTCCTTTTCCAACTGTCGTAATCNTGAACTTTTTTGTACTTAATCCTTTCTTGCGTACACCTTTGTAGGAATCCTTGAATCGTCTTCAGGGCCTTGCTCATCCAAGAGGCTTGCTCTCATGGTTGTTTTGGGGAAAAGAGTCCTCGAACTCTGTCCCCAGGGCCTTGTCCTTCCAGGAGGCCTGCTCTTGTGTTTGTTTCGGGGGCTGGAGTCCTTGAACTCTGTCCCCAGGGCCTTGCCCTTCCAGGAGGCTTGCTCCTGTATATGCTTCGGGGACAGGAGCCCTTGAACTCTGTCCCTAGGGCCTTGCCCTTCTAGGAGGTTTGCTCATGTATTTGCTTCGGGGACAGGAGCCCTTGAACTCTGTCCCCATGGCTTTGCCCTTCCAGGAGGCTTGCTCCTGTATTTGCTTCGGGGACAGGAGCCCTGGAACTCTGTCACNAGGAGTCCTTGAACTCTGCCCCCAGGGCCTTGCCCTTCCAGGAGGCTTGCTCCTGTATTTG